CTACTGACTATGCCTGCGTTTGATTGCCAAGCAAAGAGGGAAGCATGCATAGTCGGCATCTGATCAATCGGTTACCCAATTCGTGGGGAAGCTCATGACAAAATACTGCTACGGATGTACTAATGCCTCCCGTCAAGCCGGCGCTGAATGCTGCTCCTGGATGGAGAGAGAGAAAAAGAACAAAAGAATAATTGCTGCAATTGTTAAAACGGATTACCTTCAGAAATAATAGAGGAAAGCCTTCCCTGGACGAGATTATGTAATGCGACAGTGCAGGTTACGTGCCGGTGCCTCTTTTTAGGAATTGTGTCCTATATAGCAGAAGCACATTGTCAGAAATATCTTATAAATGCCAGCAAAAGGCAATAAGTTGTCCTTGGCTTTGGGGAGGATCTGGAATCCTTTAGAGGGAGATAAGGATGTCTCTGCGCTCTGACCCTTTCTCCCCACGGCTGGCACTCTTTATCCCAGCGCACTCCCTCCACCAACCTGGACGGGCACCAGCTAGAAGCAATATTCTTATTCTGGCACGGCTTTACAGCATGAAAGCACTAAGCCGCTAACACCACTCAAAAATCTCTTCATGCTGGCATTTGCTAAGGACAGCTGCTGGGCGAAAGAACACTTCTCTTGCCTGGCCAGCCTTCCCAGCAACAAGGGCAGGGGAAACCAGTCGTGTGTCTGCGACGCCGGGCCGGCAGGTTCTAAGGCAGCCTTGGAATGACTTAGTCAGCCTCGATGCTTGAGGAGGAAACGCATCGCCTGCAGAAGACCAAGCGAAGACGCCCTATCTGTATCGGTGGGCTCTGGTCATAGATGCACATGCCGGGGGGAGACAGGGACAAATGACAACATTTCCCCCCACTTGGTTTCAATGTTCCCCAAACAGGGATATTTTTTAAATTGAAATTCTGGAAACCACTGGGGGGAAAAAACTATGAAATGTTTCCCTTTTTGGAATAAGTAAAACGTTTTTTAAGGAAGAAGAAGAGGAGATTGGTTTATACCCCGTCCTTCACTTGGGAGTCCCAGAGCAGCTTACAAACTCCTTTCCCTTCCCCTCCCCACAAGACACCCCGTGAGGTAGGCAGGGCTGAGAGGGCTATTTCGAGGACAGCTCTCGTCAGAACTATGGCTGCCCAAGGTCATCCAGCAGCTGCAGGTGGAGAAGTGGGGAATCAAACCCGGTTCTCCCAGATTAGAGTCTGTGCACTTAACCACTACACCAGAATCTTACCCAGAAAAATCTGTAGTATGAAGATTTTTAGAAGAACTATAAATACAGATAACAATAATTCCTGTACATACTGTAGACACACAGAACATATATATTCAAGGTCTATTTAGATGTGACCAGTGTTTCCCTCTAAGCTGAGTTAGTGTGAGCCAGCTCACAGTTTTTTAGCATCCGGCTCACACATTTTTGTCTTAGCTCAGGAAGGATGGCTCCAGAGCAAACTAATTGATGCAGCAGCCAAATCGCTTTAATGCCAGTAGCTTGCAAAGTAGAATTTTTGCTCACAAGACTCCACAGCTTAGAGGGAGCACTGGATGTGACTAATTTTGTCCACAACGGCATAATGCAAACATGAGGACCGTCATACACTACTGAAAAGTTAATGTTCTCAATACTGTGAAGTTTGCTATCCAAATATACCTCTAGCCCATTTATGACCCCATGAGACTGTCTTTGTACACTTTTGTTACTTTACTCCAGTGTTCCCTCCAATGCTCCCTCTAAGCTGTGGAGCCTCACAAAGTAGAATTTTTGCTCACAAGACTCCACGGTTTAGAGAACAATGCTTTACTCCAGTATTAATGTTTTCTATTTTCAGCTTTCAGCTCTGGGAGGGCAAAAAACTAAGATACATGCACCAAAAAGGGATAAGGTGCAGCAGTTCACTGCTCTCAGTCTGGGGCCAGTGATGCTCTGTATTCTTGGTGCTTGGGGGGCTTCTGGTGTCCTGGCCCCACTGCTGGGCCTCCTGATGGCCCCTGGTATTTTTGGCCACTGTGTGACAAGAGGGTTGGGCTGGATGGGCCGTTGGCCAGATCCCACATTGGCTTCTCTTATGTCTGGGGGCAAGGGATACTCTGTATTCTTGGTGCTGGGGGGGGGCAACAGTGGGAGGGCTTCTGGCATTCTGGTCCAACTGGGGGGGACCTACTGATGGCCCCTGGTATTTTTGGCATCTGTGTGACACAGAGTGTTGGACTGGATGGGCCACTGGCCAGATCCAACATTGGCTTCTCTTATGTTCTTATGTTAGGTATAGATAGGAACTCTCAGTCTGGGGCAAGGGATGCTCCGTATTCTTGGTGCTTGGCGGGGGCAACAGTGGGAGGACTTCTAGTGTCCTGGCCCCACTGCTGGACCTCCTGATGGCCCCTGGTATTTTTGGCCTCTGTGTGACAGAGTGTTGGACTGGATGGGCCACTGGCCAGATCCAACATTGGCTTCTCTTACGATCTTATGCTACTGGGCTCTTGCTCTTTTCTGCTGCCACATATGTCCACGTCCCTAACAAAATGTCCACATAGGGGGGGGGGTAGACTCTCCCACGCGCCAAAATTTCCGGAAACTGCGTGTCTCTGCTTAAGGCTCTGCAGCCTGTGATTCACAAGGGAACACAGTTGTGGAATTGCCTAGGCTGACTGAATGGAATAAAAGCAGCCATTCATGCCTGACCTGAAAGGACTGAAAGAACTCCTGAGAGTGTGAGACTCAGCAGGGCCACCTAACCTGCTGCCACCCGGTATCTTTCCTGGTAAGTTAGAAACTGGCCCCGCAGCTCTTCTTTGCTCCTCATCCAAACCCGTCAGCAGTTCTTACAAGTCTCAGAGCGGAAGGGACAGATTCGAGATTCCAGGAGCACTTGAGAAACCAACAAGATTTCCAGGGCATAAACTTTTGAGACTCAGAGATCCCTTCCTCAAGTACCTGTGACTCTCAAAAGCTTATATCCTGAAAATCTGGTTGGTCTTTAAGAAGACTGGATTTATACCCTGCCCTTCACTACTTCGAAGGAGTCTCAGAGCGGCTTACAATCCCCTTTCCCTTCCCCTCCCCACAACACCCTGTGAGGGAGGTGGGGCTGAGAGAGCTCTGACTGAGAACTGCTCCTGAGAGAACAGCTCTGAAAGAACTTGTCACTGACCCAAGGTCACACCAGCAGCTGCAAGTGGAGGAGTGGGGTCTCAAACCCGGTTCCCCCGGATTAGAGTCCGCGCTCCGTAACCACTACACCAAACTGGCTCTCAGTTTAAGGGTGCTGTTAGACTCAAATCTTCTATTACAGACTGTCACGATCTGGGCTGTGCAAGCAAGGCCTAGCAGGCCCAGGGAGCCTGAGTAGGAGTGGGAGGAGGCCAGGCCTACAACTCCCAGAAGCCCCCCTGAGAGGTTTTGGCGCCAATTTTAGCCAATCACAGGGAAAGGGGACTTATAACAAAAGAGCTGGTACAGAAGATGAGCTGTTCTTTCTTCCGAGCGGCAGAGCCAGAAGGAAGGCTGCTGCAGGGAAGAGACCCTCACCCTGAGAGGAAGGGTGAGCAGACGCAGGCCCAACTGAGGCAGTGAGCCAGGGACTGAGAGTCTAGTCGCGTCAGGGCATTTGGAGTCTTTTTTCTTCACCCCCCTGACTGATATTGTTCTTGCACCTTGTTTGCTTCCCATATTGGGCTGACCTCCTGTAAAAATAAACCTTTTCTTTGTTGTGTACTCTGCCTGGTCCTCACGCTGATTTCTGCCAAACAAGGGAGGTCTGAAGGTCTTGGGAGGGGGCTCCGGGCCTTCTCAAGGGATCCTAAAACCAGAGTGGTGGCAGCGTCAGGTGACACCCCACCTGAGCCGTGACACAGACCAACACAGTTAACCCACCTGAAGCTCTCTTCAAAAGAGGAGGAGATCCTTCCTAAAGTGTCCCCATTCCCCTCCCACTCAACTAGAAGGAGCCTCTACCTGGCAGGCTCTCCCTTCCACCAGTGGCCTTCTTCTGTGCCACAGCTGTAGGCAACTGGTGGCCACGGGGTGAGGACAACTTCGGCTACACCTGGTGATGTCCTACACCAGTGACTTCTTGGGGCAGGAGAAAAGAGCACAAGCCCAGCAGCACCTCAAAGACTAACCAAATTTGTGGCAGGGGGTGAGCTTTCATGAGTCGCTACTATCTGAAGACGCGAGCAGTGACTCTCAAAAGCTCCTACCCTGCCACAAATCTGGTTAGTCTTTAAGGTGCTCCTGAACTCTTGTTCTACCGCTACAGACAGACTAACACAGCTCCCTGTCTTGACCTATCTTCTCGGGGCAGCGACGACTGCAAGACGGGGTCCACCGAAGCACTCTGCAATTTGCTAGACAAAACACTATCAGAGAGGGGGACCCTCGGGGTGCTCGTTCACGCCACTACTACAATGCTCACTTTACAGAGAACTGAGAGCCCCATGACCCCAATTGTGACTTACCAATGGCCAAGCCATCGCTAAAATTGTGGATACCATCCCCCATGATGACCATCCAGGCTATATTTGCTATGCCGGTGTCTTTCAAGTCTTTGCCGGAATGGCAGTGGCCATGGGAATGATGGGAATGTTTGTGCGGCCAGAGGTGGTTGTGTTTCCGCACAACAATTTTGTCTTCTCGATGGTTGCCCACGTACTCCACGTCGGGGAGGTTGTTGCTCCGTACATCTTGGGGGATGTCGATATAAGAATGGAGCGTGCTGTTTCCCTTTTTCATAGACAAGAAAGTCTTTGGCATGGAGTCGAGCTGACCGTCCAGGTCGGTTAATTCAGTTTCATTAAGTCGGTCGTCAGACAGGACGGAGTCATCTGCTCCTGTGTTGAAGGAACCAAAGAAACGGGATTTTACATGAGACGGACAACAGTGTGTTCATTACGACGGAGACGCTGTCCTTCGCTACAGCGCTGAAGATGTCGCATTTGCACTGAGACAACATGCTGTTGAAAACAGTGGGCGCAGGGGCCATGTTTTCTCAACAGCAATACAAAAGCCAGCAAAGGTGTCTTTGGGCACCTTAAGAACTAACACATATACGGTTGTGCGCTGTCCACATAACAGAGCCTGCGCTATTCTGCACTGAGTTCAAATGTATAGAAAACAAGTGGGAAACAAGAAACTTGCGGGAGCGGCTATCCCATTTCCCCCCACCACCTCTGCTTCTTCCCCTCTCCTCCTACTTCTCTCACACTCTTTCTTCTCTCACTTTCTCTTTCCTGCTACCCCTTTTCTTACTCTCTCTTCCCCCTCCATGCCTGTCACTTCCTTTCTGCCTCCACCCCACTCCTGTTTCTGCCCGTCAGTCTCCCGGCCCCCCGCCTACTTCCCCCCCCCCCAGCAGTGGCGGCAGCCGTTCTCCAGGAATCACAACGGATTGCCCTCTTAGTTAGGGATGTGCATTCGGTTTGTCTGAACTGAATGCACCCCTGAAAACGGCCCATTTGGGCCCCTCTCAGGCTGCTGCGGGCCAATTCGGCGGCAATTCGGCCCCAGTATATCCTATGGGCCATTGGAGTCAATGGTGAAATCTTATGGTATATTCTGGAGGAGAGGGGGTTTGAGGGAGAGGCTCCAAACCCGCAGGGTAGCTGCTGGGGCCTCTCCCCAAGATACCCACCAAGTTTCAAGAACATTGAACCAGGGGGTCCAGTTCTACGGGCCCCCAAACAGGTTGCCCCCATCCCCCTCCATTGTTCTCTATGGTGGGACACAATCCTACGGCTGTTGTGAAGCAGCTGAGGATGGCAACTGAACTCCCATGCTGGGCCAGGTACCGGCACAATGCTCTGCCACTGCAACATCGGCACTGGCCCAATGCATGTACGGAAGCAGGTGCAGACCCAGGAATGCTTACGTCCTCCGAAAGGCCTTGGTCTAAGTCTTTTATTTTGATTGCATCGGATGAACACAGCTACTCCTCTGAAATTATGTGTAGAGAAATACCAAAGTACATGATCGTTCAGACGTGCAGCTCAAACTCAAAATCTATATAACTAAAATTAAATTATTTCAAAATTCCTTTTTTAAAACATTTGTTTTAAATTTTTTACATACTGCAGTTTTCACTAGTCAACTGCGATTTGCTTGGTAAATACTGCTGCTGTTTAACCACAGTTAACACAAACTACCATTTCCAAGCCCAGGTCAAACCATGGTTTATCATAAGAACACCAGAAGAGCCCTGCTGGATCAGACCAGTGCTCCATCTAGTCCAGCATCCTGCCTCAAACAGTGAGCAACCAGTTCCTCTTGGTGGCCAACAGCAGGGCAGAGAGGCCGAGGCCTTCCCCCAACAAGCACATAAAAAGAGCCCTGCTGGATCAGACCATTGGTCCATCTAGTCCAGTATCCTGCCGCACACAGTGGCCAACCAGTTCCTCTGGACACCCATCAACAGGGCATACAGGCCGAGGCCTTCCCCGGATAAGAAGAGCCGTACTGTATCAGACCAATAGTCCACCTAGTCCAGCGTCCTGTCTCACACAGTGGCCAACCAGTTCCTCTGAACGGCCAACAACAGGGCAGAGAGGCCGAGGCCTTCCCCTTGAGGTTGCCTCCTGGCTCTGAGATTCAGAGGATTAGTGCCTCTGAATGTAGAGGTTCCCCTAAATCACCGTGGCTAGTAGCCACTCATACGCCATAAATCTATCTAATCCTCTTTGAAAGCTGTCTATTCTGGTGGCCATCACTATGTCCTCTGGTAGTTCTACAGGGAAGCTCCAGTCAAGCCCTGCTTCAAGCACACCCAAGCCCATGAACATCCTCAGGCATCACAGAGTATTCTGTTCTTGTAGGAGGCATACAGCTCTTTGTCTCAAGCTGTTCCTGACAGTTGGAATGGCTGACCCCACCCCCAGCTCCATAAAGCTCCCCTTCTGTTCCCATCAGCCTCCCAAATTCCCCAGCAGCAAGTTCCAAAAGCTCACGGTCATGTCTTGACCTGGAAAATGTAACACCCCCCCCTTTCCTTCCTTGGTTCAAATCCAGCCTCGCTTGCAGCCAGCCCTTCCTGCTAACACAGAGTCAAGCAAACCAAACTGTGGTCAAACATTCTGTCTGCCCAGGGCCACAGCCACGCTCCTTAATGGGAAGAGCTGACTCCAAAAGTCAAGTCAAAAGCTAAATCCATTTTCAGATGAGTGACTAAAAAGTCTCCCCTGGTTGAATGGGCTGCAGAACGTGTTGTTGTTTTTGTAAGTCAATCATCAGACACAAACTTGCACAATCACAGAAGGCAAGGGCCAACCTGGAAGAGGCCTTTCTCCACGTATCTCGTCTTTTCCAAGATGGTGTCGGCTGCGACACTTGTATGTATCACTGGGAAACCGAGAAAAGCATGCTCCTTTCTCCAGAACTATTTTGCACTGAGATGCGAATGCTTGGAGATTTTTAAAACAATCGGGACTCTTAAAAACACTAAGATTGCTTTAACTGATGGGAGTTGTCGGCCAGTTTCAAAAGATTTGTTAAGGCTGATGTTAGGCTGCCGCTCATCCAGGTTTGTGGCTGACGCGAGACTGACTGCGCACGGAGACGAGCGGTGGGCAGTTTACCTGCCAGGGGCTTCAGCTGAAGCCAGTCGGCGTCGGGCCTGTTCAGCTTGTGATCCGAGAGCTTCCTCCCCACTGGAGACTCATCGGCCTTCTGCTGCTTCTTACACCATTTCTGTTTGGTCTGAAAGAGACAAGAACGTGGAGGGATATAGGCCGTAACATAGAGATAGACAAGTGGCCGGAAAGATGGAAAACAACTAAATATATGAGGGCCATATCATATAAAGAAAATATTTTCAAAATGATTCACAGATGGTACTGGCCCCCTGAAAAAATAGCAAGGTGCTACACAAATAGTTCCAATAAATGCTGGAAATGTAGGAATGTTCCATCACATGTGGTGGCGTTATGCAAAAATCCAAAATTATTGGCGGAAGGTACAGAAAATAATCCTAGAAATTCTAAATGTAAACCTTACGTTAGCACCAGAAATATATTTACTAGATTTGATTCTGGAAGGTTTTGATTATAATGATGTTTACTTACTGATATATATATATATTAACGCCTGCTAGAATACTGTTCGCTAAATATTGGAAACTAGATAAAACTCCCTGCAGGGAGGAGATAACTTATAAACTATTGAACTTAGCGGAAATGGATAAACTGAGCATGGTAATGCAAGGAAAGGATGATGATGTTTATGTGAAAAGATGGTCGAGAGTATACAAATGGATAGATAACGACTTAGAAAGACAGACTCAGAATGTATAAGAACTGATTTTATGATACTATGTACATGTAAAACTCATAAATAAATGGTTAAAAAACAAACATGGAGCATCACAATCAACTTGTAACGGGGATGAAGGCAAAGGGCTCTGCCGGGCGTCTGAGGAACGGGCGCGGCACCCTCTGAAGGTGCAGAACAAGCTCTAGTGTTAATGTTGGAAGTGCTCAGTTGCCAAGGGCACGCCTGCTCTGCTGAGTTTCCTAAATTCAAGCAGATCTTGTATGCAAGGCAGCCTCCTTAGCTGAGACCTCTGGCACGCTGGCAAAATACCCACCATCCGTTCCCCATCCCTTCCGGTGCAACTTGACAGGGGTCACACGTGAAGCTACCTTCTCCTGAATTAGACTCTTGGTCCATCTAGGTCAGTACTGTCCACTCAATTTATTATTTATTAAATTTGATTTTTTTTTAAACTGCCCTCCCTTGGAAAAACCAGGCTCAAGGCAGTGTACAACATAATATCTTATCAACAGCATTAAAAAAAACCCGTAAAACACAGCAGTAACCAAAAGATGGTGTTAACATTTTTCCCTAATGGTGCCACTGGCCTCACGGGAAGGCAAGGGGGAGGGAGCCCCGGAAAGACGGAGCCGTCACGTCCTCAACCAAATGCCTGGCAGAACATCTCTGCATCAGGTCCCGCAGGGCACGGATGTTCTTCGGCAGACAGTTCCACCAAGGAAGAGACAAGCAA